TTTTCTTTCTATGTCTTTAAGACAAAGGTTTAAAATATCAAAAAATAATGCTTTTTTAATTGTTGTAAAGGTCTCCATTTTGTTCCATTTTTTCTCTATAATTTTTAAAGTCAAGTCAAAAGGTATACTAGGAAATAAGGAAGTAACTTCAAAAGAGATCATTTTCTCATCATTATATATAGGAATTGTTAATTTTATTTTTAAATTCTATTGCATCCTTTACATTATAGTTAGAGTTTTTTGTTAGTTTTATGCGAAATTTAAGAAAAATTTTATGGGTGATCGCAGAATTTTCTACTATGTGTGTATATTAAGAGATAATTTTAAGATGGTTTGAAGATAATTTTTATGTATTTTCAATCATATAATAATATTTTTAGATAATTAGTATGGTGTGTTACAATATGTAATATGTAATAATTTCATAATTAATAAATAATATTTTAATATGAATTTTTCTTTGTCTTTTTATATTTTACATGACATATTTTTATTTATTCTTTTTCTGTTTGCATATTTATACTCTTATTTTCTTTAATACATCATTGCTTATATTTCTGAGTACATGTTTATGCACATATTTTTTTATGTATGTATTTAATTTATACGCAATGAATAATATAATTATTCAAAATTGAAGTTATTACAACTACCTCTTATTTGTTATATCTGTTCTCTGTTGAATTGTTTCGTCTGTGGTGAAGCAGCCCATGTCGTCCGTTGGTTTGTAGTGTTTAAGATGTAGATTGGTCACGAAACTGAATCTTGGTTGAAATTTGATGTTTGATTCGTCTTTATTTAGTAACTTTATTAAACTTTAATTAGTTTAATCAGTCTTAGGTGGTACATATGTGTACAAGTATTTTGTTCATATATAAAGTTTAAAGACGTATTGTTGTTTTATGTAAAACACATCACATATCAGTTTATAAGTGACATAAATGTAACTTGCATCACTTATATCTCATATCATATTTTTCATATCATAAATTCATTTACATTTAATGGTCTTTGAAATGTACAGGATGTAGAGGTTAGTAATTTGCACTTATTCGCATCACTTATATCTAATTTGATACTTTGCATATAATAAATTTATTTGCAGTGAATGGTTCTTGCAAAATTTGCATTATCGCTATATAGATGATAACTATATATACTTCATATTAATTAAAACACAAATTTAATGTTCAACTTTTTATATTTATGTTATTGAACTATTATTAATTTTAAATCTAAGTTATTAACTTCCGCTTCTCGACGCTAGATATAAACTAAAACTTTACTAATTATTTCGAACCGTCTTAGGTTTGGTTTCTTATTTGCAAGCATACTTTTTATTTACTTACATTTTATTGGATAAAAAAATTCGTAATTTAATTTTTACTTACTCATTCTATTCGTTAATTATAATGTGTGTTCTAATGACACACATTTCAATAAAAGTATTACGGACCGATCATATTGCATGTACATTTCATTCAATATGGATTAGTACTGTTTACATTATTCGAAGTTTTTAAAAAACCGAAGTTCTTCGATTATTCGAATATTCGTATTTCAACGAAGTCTTCAAAGTTGGAAAAAACTTCGAAGTTTTTGTAAATTTTTGTTCTCGAAGTCTTCGAAGTTGAAGTGTAGTGAAAAACTTCGAAGACTTCGAAGACTTCGTAAGCAAAAGGTGAAGTGAGAGCGCAAAATGCAAACAAACGTGCATCATACAAATTATTTGAGGGATGAAAGCATTTGCTTTATTTGTACGGTTTTATGTTTTTTTTTTGTTATTCTATGCAGAAAATTAAAAACATGTTTTTTTGTTTTGCTAACACATAAAATTTATTTCATGATTAAAAATTTTTTATTATATATATTATTAAATATTATTTATACGAAATAAAAAATTTACCTTTTATATAACTTATATTTATAATTTATATTAAAAAAATTATATTTATGAAAATTTTTAATATAATATAAAATACATTTGTAAGAATATGAATATATTGATATTGATGGATTTTATTAGTAAAGGAAAAAAGTTTTAATTTTTCTTTTAAAAAAAATCACAAATTAAAACCTTGAAAATTAGTTATGAAAAAATGAGTTTTGCTCATTAATGCATAATTATTTGACATGTATGAGCTGTGATGATCACACAGGTAAGCACAAATTTATTTTTTGCATAATAAAAAAATAGTCTTTGATTTTTTTATTGTAATTACAGTTATTTTACGGTTTATGTAAAACTTTTAAATCTTATTTCTAAGAAAAGAAATACATAATATTATAAGGAACTATCTAAATAAAATGTAAATTAGTAAATTAGCACAATTGTATAAAAGAAATTCCATCAAATTTTCATGTATTTTATATTATATTAAAAATTTTCATAAATATAATTTTTTAAATATAAATAATAAATATAAGTTATTTAAAATGTAAATTTTTTATTTAATATAATAAATATTTAATAATAACATATTTAATAATAACATATTTAATAATAATATATATTATAATACATATTTAATAATAAAATAAATTTTATGTAATAAAATAAAACAAAAAAAACATGTTTTTAATTTTTTGCATAGAATAACAAAAAAAAACATAAAACCGTACAAACAAAGCAAATACTTTCATCCCTCAAATAATTTGTGTGATGCACGTTTGTTTGCATTGTGCGCTCTCACTTCACCTTTTGCTTACGAAGTCTTCGAAGTCTTCGAAGTTTTTTACTACACTTAAACTTCGAAGACTTCGAGAACAAAAATTCACAAAAACTTCGAAGTTTTTTCCAACTTCGAAGACTTCGTTTACTATTCGAATATTCGAATTCTTCGAATACTTCGTAAATTCGAATATGAACAGCACTAATATGGATATACATTTCATCCAAATATGGAAATCCAAATAGCCAAGCGCATATTGAAGTAATAAATTATGCGGTAGAATATTTGTCATAAAGAAATGTCAAAAAGACGAGTCGAATTACTTAACTCGTAAAATATTTAAAAGTGGCATATTGGGTTTTTATGTCATAAATTGCACATAGATGGAGAGTTTAGTGTTTTGGGTAAATGTGTCATGTCAATTACCGCACACAGTATATTGTGTGTGATCAAGGTTAATATGACACTGCACTTGTGTGTAATAGCGCATAGTACAGAAAATCAAAGTATTCATCATTAAATAACTTAAAAGGTATTGGGAGCTTGCTGCTCAAAACACAACTACATTCGTTTCAAAATAAAAAGCATGAACACCAAAAACCAAAACATAACAGTGTATATGTATATGTGTCAAGCTGAAAAAATGCAGCAAATTACGTTGCTAGAAATTCATGAACTCGCATCACACTCTCTTCCCTCTCTCATCAATCTCAAACCGATTTTCAAGTTCATGTTACGTTCATGATAGTGTAAATACGGCGAATTTATCAATCCAATCAAACATACGGCGAATTTAGAGATATGTGCCCACCGCTTATTGGTATCTTCCTATTATAAAACTGATTAAAATCTTCTGCCACCGTACAGAAGTACTAAATTGAAACCCTTATATGTAAGTAGAGGCAGAATTTATATGAAAAATCGCTTACCGCCAGCACATCAACCCAATATACTATAGCTATGTCATCATCCTTGTAGATTATAAAACTCCTGGTATTTCAATACAATAGATCAGGAAATTTGCATATCATTAGCTCATAACACCGCCGATCTTTCAACTTCATAGGTTAAACCACATATCTTTATGTTAGTATTATCATTATAACGATGATGGTGTTTTGATAACATTGACCTTAAACATTGTATCATCCTTAGCTTTTTATTACACGGACGGTATTTTGATGCCAAAGACTATAAACTTGAAAATAACGATTTTTCATAATTTTGAAAACGAAAAATTGTATTCTGTAAACCAAATTTGAAAATTACTGCACATTTTATTGTTCTTAGCACATCTTTGTTTCTACATTACTTTACTGTTCACATATCTCCGCACAACTGTGCCACTTCAATAAAATTTCAAAACTTCCAATTTTTAATGATTTAATGATTTTAAAAAATCATTCCACTTTATCGTTACTACAAATTTGGGGTAAATAAGTAGTAACAGTTTGCGTAGCTATAAATCAGTTACAGCATTAACAAACTTATAACGTAACTATTAAGTTGCATATGACAACATAATGAAACCAATTGAAAACATATTCATACTACATTCAACCGTAATAATTAATATATTTTTTTAATTTATAAAAACTCATTACAATTTTTGAATACTACGGAAAATTTCACTGTGGGCCCAAGCAAACTTTTTTTTAGTTTTTTCTAAACTAGTGCTTTTAAAATAATTAATCCTCAGAAGAATCTTTAAAGCGGTGGCGATAGTAATAAAATAATAGATCTCAAAAGGTCATAAAACCGAAATAAAATTTAAAACTAGTGATTAAAAATATATACATATCTCCTCCTAAGATCTTATCTATTGTATATAAAGTAAAGAACTTCGTTAACTTCGAAAATCCATACGTAGAAAAATTAAAATAATTTTGTACATTAATTAATTGTCAATTTTTACAACATTAATTTATAATTACATTCCTTATCACACCATATAAACATAATATTTTATTAATGTCAAATACAAAACAAATGCAATTGTTATGCATGTGTTACTGCAACAGCAGAATGCAACATAAAAGCATTTGAACGTTATAGCAAATTTTTTTATTCTATAAACTTATCTCGTTCAAAATTTGGTATGTTTTAGCCGAATGAATGAGAGTAAACCATCTTTATATGGTAGTTGTTTTGCCTTTGATATAGGCATAGTAATCTCTACATCGCTTTCAAGTGCTTTTAACACATTAATTTTGATTTACATTCATCCTGATCTGTAATGTTTTTGTTGATATTTTTAAAATTACATTTAATTTGTTGTTGTTTTGAAATATTGATTTCCTGCTTTTTGTTCACATATTTCTTGTTTGATCCAACCAAATATTCTGTATGTGTCTACCACCCATACAGGTTTCATGACGAAGAACATGCAAATCTTTTGAATGCTATGTGGCTGATAGCTATAACATTTTTAAGTGTTGGGTTTGGTGACATTGTTCCAAATACATATTGTGGACGCGGTATTGCCGTCAGTACAGGAATTATGGTGAGTTAAATGATTCCAAAATGTGATTTATGATTAAAATTTTGGCGTGGAAGTCAAATTTTGATTTCGTTTAAAGTGCACATATGTACATAGCTTTTCAGAAAATATTGAGATTAAATTTATCTATAAAAGGTCGTTAAAGTATTACTTAATAGGATGGAGTGACTAAGAGCAAGAGTCGGGGGATGTAGGGTTGATTTATTGGGTAACTGCGCATTTTTTTGTCTGTGCCCTGTATTTTAACTCATACCAGAGACAAACAATATACAGATTGCGAATGCAGAACAAAAAATGACTTCCATGATCTTAAAGCAGCCAGCTCTAATAGCCAGCTAAAAGCGCATATGAGCTTTGGATTGCAGAACAATTAAGGCATACAAAAGCTGCGTATATCACAATGGTCTTAAGTACAAGAGGGTGTGTGATAAAGTATAGTAAGTGTTGTTACATATTCTATTCATATTTTTAGTTTGTGTGCTTGTGTGATTTAAATGGCGACGATTATAAATGGCAATCAGTGAAGTGCAATTTTTAATTTTTATATTCACTAATTTTGATTCTTTTTGATTAAGAGGGATTAGAGAGGAAAGGGCGTTCAATGGTCGTCAAAGGAGAAGAAGAGTTGTTTGGTGTTGTGTGGACGCACAAACACCAACAACAATTCTTCTATTCTTCATCCTTAATGAACACTTACTAGATAATTCCGAATGCAAGGGTAGATGAGGCAATATTTTGGATGTGAATGCATAGTCTTTGTTTTCGTATATATTTTTCTCAATATACATATATGATTCACTTTGTGTGCATGTAATGCACAAGTTCTTTCAAATTCTTATAAATTTGATTTTTGATGAAATTTTATACTGGTCTCATACAAATATATGAGGCTTGTCTATTATAAAGTGAGTAATCACTGGCAGTAGCGCAACCGTAAATGTTATTAGGGGAAATAATATTAATAGGTTTGGTCGTGAAGACAGTATTATGCCCTATAGTAGCATTGATATCATGAACTATATTAATAAACAATTACAATTAATAAACAATTATAAATCACACAAGCACCCAACCTAAAAATATGAATAGAAAATATAACAACAATTTTTATACTGTATCACACACCCTGTCGTACTTAAGATCATTGTGTTATGCGCAGCTTTTGTATGCTTTAATTGTTTTACAATCTGAAGCTCATATGTGCTTTTTCTTGTTATGCATTTGCAATCTATATATTATGTGTCGGTGCTCATGGATTATATTTATTTATACACATTTATGTTAATATATATGTAAACATATATGTATAAACATAAACATATGCATTAGTGTGGCCAAAAAATTTTTTTTTGGATTTTCATATGTCTCTGGTTCTTAAAATATTCCTTTCAATGATAAAATATAAGAAATAAAATTTCAGATAGATCGCATTATACCAACCCGTTCCGAGTTGAGCTCACAGTTGTAAACGTAGCTCAATATAGAGAAAAATACTATTTTGCTCGAAAAATACATTATTAATAGTTTTATTTCAAGAAAATTTTTGACTACTTTACATTACATGTTTCTACGCTATAATACAGTATTTTGTTTGTTTTACTATTCTAATTTTTGAAATTCATCATGTTTTCGACTTAGAAGTGACGATTTAGTATGGACGAGGTATGTACAACTGTTCAAGTTAATAACATATAAGAATCAATGGTTGACATTTCTTTATTTGTTTTTAATAATCATACATAAAAACATATTTTTCGAATAGCGGCGACAGATACTAGACTCGATATTGAGCATATCGATAATGGTGACAATTTTATGGAATATCCATCGTCCTCGCCAACAGCAATTAAAGAAAATATTTCAATGAGAAAACCAGATAGGCATTTACGAGGAGAAATACATTTCATTGATGATAAAATGCTTGCTTACATGGATAAAAATAAAATTTCTACTAGATTTGCGATTCATTTCATAAGTGCAACAATTGCTGCATTAGGTCATCGCATAGAAGATCTTGTTCTCATTCGTACAATTGTTCATCTGATGAGAAAAGAATACCAACGCAGAAAAGCCCATATTTTGAAGAATTTCGATGTAAATTAGTTAAAGTTTTCATATTTTTTAGTAATATATAAGATATTTGATTGCAGATTCCTCAAGACTTTGTATTTGATTGGGATGGAAAACTTCCACCAGAAATGAATGATAAAGAAATGGTTGATCGACTTGCTCTTGTTGTTACAGGAAAAAACACCGAAAAAATACCTGGTATTCCGAAATTAGATAATTGCACTGGTAACAAAATCGCACATGCAATTCATCAATTTTTAATTAGTTGGAAATTAGGCAACTTCGTTGAATTCATTTGTTTTAATACAACAAGTTCTAATACTGGTATTCACTAGTATTCGAGCAGAAATTGGGACGTGATTACTTTTTTTGACATGTGGCCATTATATTAGCAAAATATTTCTAAAATTTGTTTGTGATTTGATTTTTGGTAGCTCATCGGCTCCAGGTACTTCAACTTGAGTGTTTTGTTCGGAAATGGAGAGATAACGATAATAAAAATTCGAAAGGATAATCGAAGACATGATGAAGCTCGAAGATAAGGATTTCAGCTATTTTGTTACTTATAAAATGTAACGATTTTTTCTTCGGTGTGAAATTTGCTCCGATTTTTTAAAGTACGATCCATCATCATGGAGTGATGAGAATGGATCTGACCTGTAAATTTGTAAAAACCTAACAGTTGTAAATGATCCAGAAGAAAGAGCTGTTTAGTTAATCACTAACTTCAACCGAGCCTTAACACTTGACAAACAGTACTTGTTGCAAATTGTTGAATATTATCAACACATCCATCTTTCACTAAATCGTCACTATTAAGCCGAAAATATGACGAATTTCAAAAATTAGAGTAGTAAAATAAACAAAATACCGTATTATAATGTAAAAACATATAAATAATGTAAATTAGTCAAAAATTTTCATGAAATAAAACTATTAATAATGTATTTTCGAGCAAAATAGAACTTTTGATGACTTTTTCTATATTGAGCTACTTTTGCAACTTTGAGCTCAACTCGGCACGGGTTGGTACAATGCGATGATCTGAAATTTTATTTCCCTTAATTTATCATCAAAAGGATTAATTTAATAACCAGAGACATATGAAAATCAAAAAAAAAATATATATTATCATACAACTTATGACCAGTCTAATATGCATATATAGGTACATATATTCAATACGTATTCTTATATTATATTATGTTTTAGTATATGTATGTATTTTATTCTTATTCGTTTTTTTATAATTATGTCATTATAACTATGTATGTACTTTTTAATGCACATTTTGTGTAACTGATGCGCATTGCAAGCAAATATATTTTATTTAAAATGCATGTACGTAATTAAATCAATTCAAGCGAGTAACGCCAATGTGTTATATTGGAAACAGGCCCATTATTAAATGTCAAAAATCTCGCGACTGAGAATATACTACGTTAAAAAAAAAAACAAAATAAAAACAAACCATAAATTTTATAAAATAATAATGATATTGATAGCAATGATAGTCATAATAACCATAACCACCATAGCTGAATTAAACAAAACATTCTTTGTTCACTTGATGAATAATTCCTCTTATAGAAGCTAACAAGTAAACTGGCAACACATTCTCAATGCATAACAACTAGAAACATTGAGTTTGATATCAAAAAATTAAGTTTGATATCAAAAAATTAAGAACATTTTCCTAAAAGCAGAAATTAGGAAATATTTATACAGAATTATAACTCAAAAATGCAAAATGAGTTTGAAGTCTTCAAAAGGACAATATTAACATCAGCAATCCAAAATTAATTTACGAAAGAGAGAAAAAAAGGAAAAATAAAAAAAGGTCAGTCGGTCTGACTGGTTACTTGAAGTTAAAAGGACGAATAAAAAGCGCACAGCGGAATATTTACTTGAAATCATAACCTAAATCATATAATTACCTAACACCACCATAAAATCACATAAATAGCAAACCACCAACTATAATAAATGGTAATAACGACAAAAAAAACATTAAATTGAAAGAGCTTTTAGCACAAATTATTCATCATCTTACTAAATAAACCTGCATACAAAGCAAAAACATTCGACTTAAGTGATTATTCCTCAGCTACTAAATTTTTAGATAATGAGGACATTTTTAATTATTAAGATAAATAGGCCAGACGAATATTAGGACTGGTACAAAGTTTTAATTTTTCCAGAGAAAAGCTCTCACTTTTAAACAAATTGAAAGCAATATCCAAGAGCTCACACCTTTGTATAATACGAAAATTTAAAATTTATATATGGAAGATCTATTGAAATAAAAGATAATGTTAGATGCGTTATTGTAATCAAAAAACACTACTCTTAAAATACAATAAAGGAAACCAATTTCTTATGCAAAAGAGGGCAAGGGTAGTGGCACAAATACAACAGCAGCTTCTTTCGACAAAATTTCGATTATTTTATGAATTTTAGTGAACAAGAAAGATTAGATTATTTGAGAACTAAATGATATTCTTTAATACAAACTGTCGGAATAAACACATAAATGAGCTTAAAATCTTTTTCATCAAATACGACATAGATATTCTTTGTGCCTGAAACTTTATCACGCAATACATACTAAAAACTGCTTAAGGGGTCATACTGCTATTGTGAATAAAAGTAATTTACCAAATCACCTTGAAAATCAGTTATTTTAAAGAGAAACCACCAACAGAGAGCACGACTTTTATGTTCATTCACTTCAGTGAATAAAAAAAAATTATATATTTAGAGTTTTTATAATTCTTTATTTATTGAATCAAAAGATGATTTACAATATCTTAGTTATCGAACTTTATTTAAAGTTAAAGATATCTTAAAACTTATTCACTATAATATATATTCGCAAAGAAAGAGATTTAATTGTAGTTGTACCTTATATACTTTCTAGTATTACAGATTTT